TGAATGTGACCGAAGGGCCACACTTTTCTGGCCCATGAAGCCCCCATCCTCCATATTTTCAACTTGTCATGATTTGGCAGCAAATCTTAACACCAAACCATAATGAAAGCATCCCAAATTCATGGCAATACACAAATATACCTCTGTGCTCGCAGCTTGGGAGTTCTCTTGCACTCATTGCTGACCCTGGAACCCCAGGTTTCGGCGATGGCCAGGGGATCATTCACACAATTCAAACTTAGAATCATAGAATCATGGAATTGGAAGATACCTCGTGGTCCATCCAGTCCAACGTTGAGCATGAGATAGGCTTTAGTGACTGTGATATATAATTGATTGTTTTAACTGTTATAACTGTTTTAATTGCTGTTTATATATGTTTATCTGTATTATTGTGTAGGCATCAAATTGTGCTTTTTGTAAGCCGCCCTGAGTCCCCCCTCGGGAGTTGAGAAGGGCGGGGTAGAAATACACGAAATAAATAAATAAAATAAAATAAACCCCCTACCAAAGAAGCAGGAAAATCACATTCAAAGCACCCCCGACAGATGGCCATCCAGCCTCTGTTTAAAAACCTCCAAACAAGGAGTCTCCACCACACTCCAGCAGACAGAGTTCCACTACTGAACAGCTCTCACAGTTAGGAAGTTCTTCCTAATGTTCAGGTGGAATCTCCTTTCCTGTAGTTTGAAGCCATTGTTCCACATCTTAGTCTCCAGGGCAGCAGAAAACAAGCTTGCTCCCTCCTCCCTATGACTTCCTCTCACATATTTATACATGGCCATCATGTCTTCCTCTCAGCCTTCTCTTCTTCAGGCTAAACATGCCCAGCTCTTTAAGCCACTCCTCATAGGGCTTGTTCTCCAGACCCTTGATCATTTTAGTCACCCTCCTCTGGACATTCCAGCTTGTCAATATCTCTCTTCAATTGTGGTGCCCAGAATTGGACACAGTATTCCAGATGTGGTCTGACCAAGGCAGAATAGAGGGATAGCATGACTTCGCTGGATGCTACTCCTCTATTCTGCCTTGGTCAGACCACATCTGGAATACTGTGTCTAATTCTGGGCACCACAATTGGAGATGTTGACAAGCTGTGCCCGTACTTTGGGAAGTGAGACTTGGCTCTGGTTACATCCTGAATAGATTACTGCAACACATTCTTCGTGGGGTTGCCTTTGAAGCTCCAAATGGTCCAACAGGCGGCAGTCAGATTGCTCACCGGAGCAACGTACAGAGAACATACAACTTCCCTGTTACATCAGCTCCACTGACTGCCAGTCAGCTTCCGAGTACAATTCAAACTTCTGGCTTTAGCCTATAAAGCCTTAAACGATTTTGGCCCAGCTTACCTGTCTGAACGTATCTCCCTCTATGAACCATCTTAGAAATTAAGATCATCCGGGGAGGCCCTGCTCTCAATCCCGCCTCCTTCACAGGAGCGACTGGTGGAAACGAGAGCCCCTCAGCTATGGAACTCCCTCCCTAGTGACATTAGATCAGCCCCCTCCCTCCTAGCCTTCAGAAGAAAGGTAAAAAGTTGGCTGTGGGATCAGGCCTTCAAAGAATAGGGCAGTGCAATAAACAGATTTGGAATATATGGAATGACTATGGAATGGCTTGGACTACGACTATGGATGGCATGATTTTAATATGAAATAGAATGTTTTTAAATGTTCAATATGTTTTAATTTTAATGTTTATATGTGTTTTAAGGCATTAAATAATTGCCTCTGTGTAAGCCGCCTTGAGTCCCTTTTGAGGTAGAGAAAGGTGGGGTATAAATAGTGAATAAATAAATGTGAAAATGCATGAAACACACACACACACACACACTGTACTATCCCAGATGTTTCTGTTTTCCTCTGCAGTCTTTTTCAATGCTGCTTCCTATTATCATTTTTAGGAGCAACTGCAGAGAAAAATGGAGGCATTTTGGCTTGTTGTGGGAGAGTTCTAGGTCGAATTAACATTGTGATGGCATACCGGGGTTGAAGGAAAACTATATGTCTGGCTATTCCTGGTGGCTATCGGTATATCCTCTCTTGCACTTCAGTTCTTTAAAATAAAGACTCTTGAGACAGGATTAAACTTAACCAAATAAGTTTACTGGAAACAAAAGGCAAAGTTAACTTCAATCAGGGTTCTTGAAAGGTGAATCAAAATAAAATATTACAAAGACAAAGTTTGTTGACTGAACTTAGTTACACTGATAATAAACACTTGACTATATTAGTAAAATATGAGGTAAAATACTTGACTATGATTGTGGTGAGTCACTAGGTAAAATACTCAGCTATTGAAAGTAAAATACTGGACTTAATTATTGGTAAATACTTGGCTATATTGGCTACTGTAAGGTACTTGGCTATTGATGTAATACAGAACTAAAGTGGTAAAGTACAAGCTATAGTAACTATATGGTATATACGTGCTATAGAATGCCTGTTTAGATTGCCAGGCCAAGGAATCCAGACAATTTTTGGCCTTCTTCTCTAAAACTCTGACCCAGAATAAAAAGGAGTGAAAATCCTTTCAGACAAGTACTGAGGCAAGGCCTCTAGGGGGGTTTTAAGCTCCACCACTAAAACTAAGCACAAATGGAAAAGTCCACACCAAAGGGAGAACAAAACAAGGAAATGAAATAGAAAAGGGAAAAAAGCTAGGCCAAGACATCACAAACATCATCTCCTCTTGATATAAAAGTCTGTTACTGTCTGTTTATAGCACAAAGGCTCTTGCTAGGTGAAGGGTTGGCTCTTGCTAGGTGAAGTGGCCCTCTGTGATATCACTGGGAAAGAAAGGTGATGTGTATGATGGGGAAGGGAGGAAGAGAAGAAAGAATCACAAAGAAAGATGTGCTGCCATGGAGACATTGTGAGATAGGCCCTCTCAGAGCTGGAGAAGGGAGAAAGATGGGGGAAGGAGGAAGGGAAGGGAAAAACAAGGAAAAGAATGGAGAAGGGAGGGAGGGGCAAAAGAAAGAAAAAGGCGTGAAGGAAGGAAAAGAAAGGAAACGGGGAAAGGTATGGAGGGAGGGAAAGAGAAAGAAGGGATGAAAGCGGGGGGGGGGGGGGCAGTTGAGCTTCCAAAACCTGGGAACTCTGGGTATATATGCTACTTTATTTATATAGCACCATCAATGTACATGGTGCCTTACAAGTAAAACAACAACAACAAAACAGCACTGCCAAAAGCACACTTTCTTATTTATACACAAACACATAAACAGGGGAAAGAAGGAATAACACAAATATTAATTATACCTTGCTATCCACTTTTCCCCATTCACATTTAGTACAAGACAGCAATTTTTACATGTGTACAGCAATTATACAACACTCCAACGACAAAACGTTGGGTTTCTTCCCTCTGACACAGTGTTGGAATATTACCTCCTAAGTGAGATTTTACCACAATTCTTAGACCACTGCCTTCATGCCTATTTCCACTATCAACTGACACGGAAGGATTTCTGACCCACCTCCTGTTGTCTGTCTTGCTTGTGTCACCTCCAGCACACCCACCCCTTGCTCTGCCATCTCTGGTGTTGTTCTGGAATCTCAGGAAGCTGAACCAACTGACTTGGTAACCCTGAATAGCTATCAACTTGGATAGTTTTAAAGGTGAACTAGACAAATTCATGAATCGTAATGGCTATGAATATGACGATGTCAATCTTCAGAACCACTGTGGAATAACAATAGCGCTTGCCCTCTTGCTCTCCCTAGGCTTCTTGTTACTCAATATGGAAAACAGGAAGTTGAACTAGAAAGATCCTTGATCTGATCCAGCATGGTTTCTGTTATGTTCCTTTGTTCTCTCTCTCTTTCTCTCAATCTTTTCACACAGTCACAATAGGTTGGAAATGTGGCTACTCTCAAGTAAGCAATTAGAGAACAGTATTTCTTAGCTTGTTTTTAGAAAAGCCTTGAATAGCCAAGTGATTTGTCCATTTTAAAAATCTAGACAGTATTTATAGTGAAATCAGGAGTAAAATAAAGTAGCCAAGTGCATTCCCAGACAGATGCTCCTAGGACTAGCAATCAAAAGGCATTGTGCAGCTATTCTGTCTTTCTCTCCTTCATTTTTTTTTTTGTAATTTGAAAAAAAGACAGGGAAATGATGGGGAAACACTGACTGGTTAGAAATGTAAGACAGTGTCATTTGGACTCCCTGTAAAATCGAGTATTTCATGGCAGGGCAACTGGAAGACAAAAGTTTTGTCTAGAAGCACTCCAAGGACCGATCTTTATTTATTTATTTGGGGTTCTTTAGTTTAAGTCATTCTATGGAACATCTGATATGGGACAAGTTAGTAATCATTGTATGTAAGTTCAGTTTGAGCATCCCTTATCAAGAATTACAAATGAAAAAATCCTCAACATTTTCAAAATTGTCCAAATGGGTGGCTTTTGTGTTTGTTTTCTGATGGTTCAATGTAGACATACTTTGTTTCATGCACAAAATAGTTAAAATATTGTATAGAATTACTTTCAGGCTATGTGTCTAAAGTGAATATGAAATATACCATATGTCTTCATGCAGAAATTGATCTCACATATAAGTTGAGAGTAGGTTTTGTGGTCAAAATTGTGGATTTCAATATGACCCATGGATAAGTCAAAGGATAAGGACAAGGAGAGGGGAAAACATCAATGTTGCCTCGAATGATCAGTCACTTGTCCAGACATTTTTAAAAAGTCAGAAGCAGTGTCATAGCAGAAACAATAAAAGAGTTGAAACTTATTTCAGTTTATCCCAGAAAGGACTAATCTCTCACCTTTCAGCATTATACTGAGAGAAGAGGGTGACTCCTATTTGGCTAAGTTAATATACAGAACTTGCACTGACTTATAGGACAACTAATGAGGACAACCAATCTGTTCCAATCTGTATTGAGTATGAAAATGAACTGAGTCCAATATTTCAAATTCATCAAAAACTATGCCTAAATTTTCAGTCTACTTTTATCTTATCAAAACAAAAATGCTACTTACCTCCAATGTCTGGCCGAAGTTTATTATCATAGCCTTGGAGTAAAGAGTTCAGTATATGGGTGACTTCTCCTTCATGAATCTTTGGGGCAAGGACCCAAGTTTTGTTCACAGTTAGGTCTTCATCATCCTCATCATCTGTTTTATCGGTGCTAATGACAATTGAATGAAATGTTGGAGAGGAAAAAGAATAAAAGCTAAGTGTGTGCAAAAATGAAATAAAAGAGTCACACAAAATAAAAATTCAACCAAAAATAGCAGAAGACATAAAAACCCTAAGTAAAGGGATACACTTAATTCAAAAGGTTAGCTAGTTGCATTTTTAAGAGCAGCAAACTTAACTTTCTTAACAATTATGAGAATGACAGTCAAAGAGACCCCAATTAATTCTCGTTACATATTATAAATAAAGTAGTCCCTTGGTATTTCCTGGGATTTGGTTCCTGGACAAACCATGGAGAACAAAATCTGTGGATGCCTCATTCCCATTATATTCAATGATGTAGTAAAAGAGCATTCGGAATACCAAAGAGTAAAATCAAGGTTTGCTTTTTTTGATATAAAATGTTACCATTATTGTCTGTTTAGTATAAAACTATGAGAAACAAGTTTTATCATGTCTGTTGATGGTGATAAATAGAAAGAGGTAGAGCATGCACTTCTGTTCGTGTTTAATCTTTCCAACAAAAGAAATTGAATAAAACTGAATAAAACGGACTGATGACATTTCCAGCTATTAAACTACTTATGTTTTCCTATATCAAAGTGGCACAAGAGATAGTATGCACCACTGTTCAAAGAATAAAAGACACCATATAATTTTACTTGTTGCTTTCCTTTAACCATAGTTTTCTTGCATAACTCCTCTCATTGCCCCTGACTTCTGTTTTAGAGCTGGAGCATTTGAGACACTGTTCGAATCACTCCAGGAGATCCAATGATGATATCAGGATTATCTCACATTCTTCCCTTAGGAATTCAAATCATCAACTGATCAACTCTCTGGCTAGGAGGGACAACTGCCATTAAGACAGAGCCTTCCACACAAAAATACACAACTGCATCTGCTGAAAGCCTCAGTGGTACATACTGAAAGCCCCTCCCAAGCAAAGCTATTAAAAAAAACTGTAAGTCAGCACTGCAAGGAACTATGCATATAATTCCATTGGTCCAAAAAAGGGAGGTAGCAGAACTTTGTGTTGGTTCATTTTAAAGAAGAATTTATTACAATTTTAAAAATGTCTTTCTATTAAGAATGGAAAAATATGGGTTTTTTTCAACCCCCCCCCCCCAATAATTTTTTTGAGAAAAATCAAAATTGGCAGATATTTCTTAACTTAAGAACAATACGTTTCAGCTAAGACATCTTGGCTGGAAAACCTATGTATTCAACAATATGAGTACCAAAGTAAGGTTGCTATTATTTTTTTCTGAAAGGTTAATTGTCTAACATCAAAATGACAGGTAAGCAATGCATTGTTCTCTCTCTCTCTCTTTTAAGAACTATTGCATGCAGAGGAAGACTTTATTTCAATTTATTTTTGCAGAATTTACAAAATTTTGCACACATAGTAAAGCTCTGGATAGGATAAATGACAGATTAATAAATATGAATGTATAAGAAAGTAAAATGAATGAATTTTAGTTCAAAAGGCTTGTGAATTCCATGGGATTTCCCCCCAAATATATATAGATATCTCTATATAAATAAAAATGTAATGTTCGTTTGTGGGATTAACATAACTCAAAAACCATTGGGCGAATAGACACCAAATTTGGACACAATACATCTATCAGGCCAACAAGTGACCATCACTCATAAAAACACTGAAAAACACAGAAGAGACTTTAAAAGCCAAAAACACACACATACACACACACACACACAGAGAGATATACACGCAAATACACATATAAACATATACACAGACTGGGCCACAGCAACGTGTGGCAGGGGATGGCTAGTATGTGTGTATATATATATACTAGCTGTCCCCTGCCACGCGTTGCTGTGGCCCAGTCTGTTAATCTGGAAAGTAAAGTAATGAGAAAGTGTTGGTTTCTAATATATGTAATTTCTTTATGCTAAACAGTATTTCTTGCTGTTTCTTTGTCAGTGTTGATGTGGAGAGTGTCTGGTTTGCCCACCCTGAAACATGCAACATATCATTGTCCTTCTTTAAGGGTCCCTTTCAAATCTATGATACTATATCTGTGTGTGTAAATCATATCTATCTCTATCTATCTATCTATTTATCTATCTATCTATCTATCTATGGCTGGATGGCTCTTTGTCAGGAGGACTTACGTTTTCTTGCCCTGATGAAGGGAGTTGGATTGGATAGCCTTAAGTATTTTCTGTTGGTCATGGGGGTTCTGTGTGGGAAGTTTGCCCCGATTCTGTCATTCGTGGGGTCCCAGTGACTACAACTCCCAAATGTCAAGGTCTATTTCCCCCAAACTCCATCTATGTTCATATTTCGGCGTATTGAGTGCTTGTGCCAAGTTTGGTCCAGATCTATCATTGTTTGAGTACACAGTGCTCTCTGGGTGTAGGTGAACTACAACTCCCAAACTCAAAGTCAATGCCCACCAAACCCTTCCAGTATTTTCTGTTGGTCATGGCAGTTCTGTGTGCAAAGTTTGGTTCCATTCCATCATTGATGGAGTTCAGAATGCTCTTTGATTGTAGGTGAACTATAAATCCCAGCAACTACAACTCCCAAATGACAAAATCATAATTTTTGAGTGATGGTCACTCCTTGTGTTGTGAGACGTTTTGTTGCCAAATTTGGTGTGATTTTGTTCATTTTGTTTTTGTTTTTAAGGTACTCATTATGCACAGAGCATTTTTATAGATATAGATATAGATACTGAAACTGAGGATAGTTTCAAAAAGAATTTGCAAATAGACACAGGAGCTTTTTCTTCAAACAAAACAAATCAATATCTCATTCTCTCTCTCTCTCTCTCTCTCTCTCTATATATATATATATATATATACACACACACATACATACACACACACACATACATATGCTTAAAGGTAGTTCTTTGTTTTCTTGCTACCATGATTTCATTCAAAATTAGGATAATGCTCTAGTAATAACTACAGCTGGATTCCATAGACTACAACTGCATTATTGTCTACAGCCTCTTATCAAGATGGAAGAGAAGCGAGATGCAGAGTAAAACCAATTGCGTGTCCATTTATTACTTGCCCTTCAATAGAAATAAATTGCTACTTTCCAAATATATGCAACAAAAGAAAATTGGTAAAGCTTGAGTATGTCTGCAAATTCATTCAGATGATCCCATCAAAGGTCAAAGAATGCCTAGAAGTAATTTTCTCTCCATTTGAATCAAATGAGTTTGGACTTTACATATTCTTCTAGTGCTAAAGTTTGCAATCTCAATTACTTACTCCACCACAATTTCAAGCAGTTGCTAGAGGCTTCAAGTCAAACAATGTGCAGCAAAATTAAAAGAGGTAACCATGGCGGTTTTGAACACATTTTGACAGACAGACAATGATGATCATAAATTAATATGTAAAACATAGCAAATGTACATAAGGGTGTTCTAAAATTCTAGTATACTGTTATTTCTGAAAGAGGAAAAAAGACTGGCATTGTTACAATACATGGTATTTATTCTCAAGTTTAACTGCTCAATCCAGAAACTATTGTGTGATGCAACTATAAAACCTGGCATGTCAGCAGGGCAAACAATTTCACTGGAGGCAGGGAAGCTTCATACACAAGGAACAGTCAACACCGATCTGATTCCACAACACAAATGAATGGTAATAGCTGGCTGGATCAAAGTACTTGGCTTTACAATAATACACACACCTGTGTATTTGAACTGTGAGGAAAATCCTTTCCTTATATTGCATATTTGGCTATGTTGTCATAAAGATATGATGGCTCTGTAGGTTTATTATTACGCATAAATCTACTCAAATTTACTTATATTCTTTTCCAGTCCTAATTTAAGGCAAGAGATGTCTGATAGTGGAATATGCTACTTTGAGTCTCCTTTGGGAGAGATAAAAAAGGGTAATAATAATAATAATAATAATAATAATAATAATAATAATAATAATAATAATATGCAAGTGAAGTTTCCTTCTTTCTCCTGAGTTTTTTTCAACCATACAGGACACCACCCAAGCCCTCCTGACAGTTGGTCCTCCACCCACTGATATGACAGATACACTACTATAGCTTTCATAGGATCCTAGAGTTGGGAGGGACCCCCAAGGGCCATTCTGCCCAACCCTCTTCTGCCAGACAGGAGGACACAATCAAAGCACTCCTGACAGATGGTCATTTAGCCTCTCCTTAAAAACCTTTCATCCCATCCCTCTCCTTCTTGAATTCTTTTATAAAGAATTGGGCACAGCCTGTTTGGAAAAACTCCAGAGAAAGAAAGAGGCTCCACCTGCATAATCCAGTATCAGACATCTCCTACCATCAAGAAGTTTCCTTGTGGGGTAAAAGAAAAAGTGGGGTAAAAAGTGGGGTAAAAATAAACATCATAATAATAATAATAATAATAATAATAATAATAAGGGGGGTATTAATAAACAAAGCAACATTAATGTTTAATAGAATCTCTTTTTCTGCAGCATGAATAATGTCCTCCTCCTCGATGGGACCTCTCATCTCCAAGCGAAACATCCCCAGCTCCTTAAACTATTCCTCAATAGAGCTTGGCTTCAAAACCTTTGACCAGTTTGGTGGCTCTTCTCTGGACCCCTTCCATCTTGTCTATCACCTCTTTGAATTCCTCTGCCCAGAACTGAACACAGGTTATAATTCCAGGTCAAGCTTGACCAAAGCAGAATAGAATGGGACTATGACTTTCCTTGATGCAATCAGTAGACGTCTATTGGTGCAGTCTAAAATGGCATTGGCCTTTTTAGCTGCCGCACCACAGTGTTCAAAGCACATTCAAAGGAATGCCAAGGGCTAAGGCAGTGGCTGGAGGCTGGCCTCATGTCGGATCATGGTATGGCCACCCTACACAAAGTGCCAGGCCAAAGGCTATGCTGGCCAGCCTTTGCCACTTATTGACTAGCACCTGTTAAAACCATATCCCTAAATCCATGATCATTCTTTATGCTGGAGTATTCATATCAATTCTG